GGAATGTATGCTCGAACTAACAGTTGAGAATAGCCACATTGTTACAAACAACATGAGTTTGATGGCTTGATCCGACCAGCGAACTGAGTGTAGATCATGACATAGATTTCGAGAATTACACAAGCGACCAGACGTGATCGTTCTCAAAGGTCTAATGACTTGAGCCAGATCTTGATCAATGCTATGAAAAGTTGTTTCGAACTCTACCTATCATTCGCGACCTAGAAACGCTTAGAATACTTTGCTGTCAAAAACTGAGAATCATCTTGTTCAATGTTCAAGCTTGACATGCAAAAAAAATGCCTTATTCGAATGACCTCCTAAGATGTTATCCGTTGCATTTGACAACTGTCTTGGTCAATAAAATAAGTTTTATCTGACAGATGTGTCTTTACGCAATAAGCATCAGCCATGAGCATTAAATGCAGGCCATGTTGATACGACATTCTCTTTTGAAACATTAAATGCGGATGGGGGCACATTTAATGTGAAGGAGATAATCACGCAGACGCTTGACAATTTCAATATAGAGAAACGACGGTTGATCTTCACGAAGCGTGATGGTCACTCTTCGAGCAAATTGGTGACACGTGGTCACAATCAACAGCTGGAAACACATTCCCGCCCAAATGTCGCTTATGAAAGAAACCAAACGTCGTCTTCCACCCTATAAAACCCAAATCTCATTCTAAGTTTTTCATAGAATTCAAGTTTTCTAAGAGAAAAACAACGTTTTTATACTCAAAAAATCAGTTCATCATTTCTCGGTTAATGCACACTCAACGCTACAACAGAGCATCCGTTCCTAGTAATCAAGAGGTAAAAAAATTTCTTCCCTTTTCTTTTTTTCATTTCTGTCAAAAAGCTTAGTTTTTACAGTAATGTCGAGTATGCACGCTGATAGGCTTAAATGATAAACATTCTTGGGTAGTGTTTGAAAAGAAACATTTTTAAGAGTTGAAACCTAGGGCGTAGATCTTTAGAAAATCATTCTTAAGAATTTTTAGGGTTTTGGCGGCTATGGAAGAGAAACCAGAGTTCTTTTACTCTTCTGAGTCGTCGTACAAGGTCACTTATGTAGAGCTTGAGTCACCCCTACATGTCACACCTTTATAGACTCTAAGGGTAATGGACATCCCTGAGGCGAGAACAGTTGGAGAGGGAAGCTCGCAACAATCGGGCACCTCGGCGGGTCCCAGAAGCTCGCAACCACCGAGCACCTCGACCGGTCCCAGAAAGGTAATATGATCAACAATCACGAATGATGAAATTCAGAAAGCAATAGATTAGTATGCGATCAACGTAAACGTGTTCCAACATAGGTCGCACACTGCTTAGGATCCTCCCGAGGGAGTGGCCGCAATCTCGGAAGCGATCTTCAAATGTGGAGTGAGGATACCCATTCACCCTTACATTAGGTCGATTCTTGACCACTTCCAGGTCGCGCCATTCCAGTTGATACCTAATGCATATATGATAGCGGTCGCTATGTATATCGCATTTGGCGAACACAACCTCGGCGAGCTAACATTAGAAGAACTTGGCTATGCCTATTACTTAAAGAAAAGTAAAGACAATGATTCGTACTACCTATCCAAGCGATCGACGATCAAGGGAGGAATATTTGGTTACCCCAACAATGTAGGGGCTCATGAAACCAAGTATTTTTTTTCTTTGACTATGATGGAGTGTAAATTTAAGGAATTGAGTAAGTTTTCCTTTCGATTTCCAGATCGCTCATCTTTTAACTTTAACTTTTCCTTAATACATATTAGCCTAACGAACCTTTTGCTTTCTTGTAGGAAACAAAACGACCAGATTGGCGATGCTAGCTGATCGCAACCGCATCGAAGCATTCGGTCGATTGCCAAACTAGAGTCACGACGCAAGGCTTCTTGTGACTACTGCCAACCTTCGAAAATACGGGTTTTTTCAGTCTTGACGCATATTTGGACGATTGAGCTTGTAAGTATTTTTTATACAGAAAAACTCCCAAGTCATTTTTAGCAAAAGAAGACTCTTTTTGCTGATGTATTCGTATGCTATGCAGCAACTATGCCACCGAAGGTTGCGAAGACAACGAAGAAGCCTAAGGGGTTCACATTCCCTAAGATTAATCCAACTGAACCAGCTGGCGCAACCTCCAGCGATATCCCTGTAAGGGGGTTACATTGGTGTCGAAAGGCAACCACCCGCTGAGCGACGTGAAGAAGCTCCCCTGTCCACTGTTGCTCGTCCACCGAGGAAGAAGACCATGGCTACGAAACAAAGAAGAGAAAAACAATATCCACTGAAGAGGAAATTGATTCTGAATCAGAAGGCTTCGAGATATTGCCAAATAGACTGCAACCCTATCAACTCTTCTTTGTGAGGACGACCTCGAGGGACGCTCTCAGGACCTCGATTGCCCTTGGGAGCTTGAAAGGAAAAGAGGGAGTGACCACGGCCGCTCAAGGGGAAGCAGGCGAGGAACAAGTCGAAAAGGTCCCTGTCGTAAGGAGACTCAACCCATTTGTGTTGGATCTTTTATGGCAACTACCAGACCATTTACGACCAGTGGTTTACACTCTTTTGGAATGTCAACTGTCTGGATTTTCTTTATTTCTTATTCATGACATGTATACCGGTGACGTACGCTTTGATGTGATGCTTAAACAACTGCCATTTTCAATAGGGCAGTCATAATTTGAAAGTTTCTTCAAACAATATATATCACCACATATTTTATGGGGGGGTAAGTGAAAGTACCGATAAATTTTTTGTGAAAAGTTTAGTAGTGAAGTAATAACAAAGGTTGACTCAACTATTTCTGGATGGTTGAGTAATTCGATAAAGATTCTCGAATATATTATTTAAGAGGTTCTGAGTTTGAATCTCTCTTCAATTGTTATTAGAGATAGCTATTAAAACTCTTACGTTATCGATAGTTTTAGGGTTTCAAAATATTAAATGAATTGTACCTAAGTTGGTATGAACATCTCCTAACATTTAAAAAAAATAAAAATAAAAAATAATAATTGGTGTTGTCTCGGGAGAGGACATTTATTATTAACATTGGTTTTAAATGCGGAATAGTCACTTCTCAGAGATTCCAGCACACGACTGCAAAATGCATTTAAGTACCTGATTGACTCTGTCAGGGGACCAGAAAAAGCAGAAATGGACCACAAACAAAAAGAATTCGTATCATGATTATAGCCTGTGATACATACAATTGAGACCACAAAAATTAGGCCTATCTTTAATGTGTTGCAATTAATGTATTATTAGCAGTTTCCCAGATTTTTCACTCGCTATTTACTGGCAAAACAATTTTCAATCTTGCGTGAAGAAAAAGAAGAATACACCAGTAAAGCAAATCTACCAACTAGGAGGTTCTAGGGGTACTGCTCCCATAAGCATAGTTAGTAAATATGGATACGGTAAAAAAGTGGTACGAAAATTTTATGAGAATGATACGATAAATGGTGAAAAATACGTTTATAAAAATTCGACCTTAAAATTCAGATACGAAAAAAATATGGTACGGATATATACGGGTTTAATACGGTATATTATCAATAATATGTTTTAAAAAATACGGTAATATTAATCCTAATTTTAGTATTTTTTATGATCATTGAATTAATTATTCTCTATTTTTTTTTATAGGTGTATGATTTATATTTTTTTAATTATAATATTTTAGTTTATTATTATAAATATTATAGAAGTGATCAATTATTAAATAAAACAAATAATTTTATTTGTCTTGTAAGTTGAAGAAGAAGAAGATAAGACAAACAATGGTGTTTGTTGAAGAATAGTTGAAGAGGAAGAGAGGTAGAGACGCCAAAAAAGAGAAGAAAAGAGAAAGAGGGCACAAAAAAAAAGAAGAAAGGAGAAAGAGGGCACAAAAAAAGAGAAGAAGAAAGAAGAGGGCGCCAAAAGAAAGAAAGAGAAAGGAAGCGGGCGCATAAAAGGGAAGAAAAGGTGCTAAAAAGAGACTGACATCGTGCTTAAGAGACTGAGCATAAAACGACATCGTTTTGATCAAATTTTACCTAAAATGACGTCGTTTTGACTCAGTAAATAATAAAATTTTATTTTTAAAAATACGGTCGAATTATACGGGAATTATATGCGAATTATACACAAATTATATGACTAAAGTATATAATTCGCGTATAATTCGACTGTGCTTATAGAATATGGGAATTCGCGTTTTATACGTGAATTATACGATTGAAACTCAAAATCTTACCCAGTTTGACTTCTGGGCCCTGTTAGTAAATTTGCGTTTTATACGCGAATTATACGATTGGACGTATAATTCGCGTATAAAACGCAAATTTACTAACAGGGCCCAGAAGTCAAACTGGGTAAGATTTTGAGTTTATGGATGAGATGTACTGTACACTCTAGAATGCAAACAAACATGAGGTATAGTTAGTCCAACTCCCAAAACATGAAGCCTTTCTAACCCCAAATTAGCAGAAGAGTAATACTACACATACATCATTTTCATACAACATTTTTCATACGATATTATGTAGCAAGATATGATTGACTAATTTAAAGTTAAAATTAAACTTTCATCCAATCACATCTTGCCACATAATGTTGTATGAGAAATATTGTATGGGAATGATGTATGTGTAGTATTATTCTTAGCAGAAAGCAAGTTTTACTCTCGGTCATTTGTAAATGCAACAAACTGAAGAGCAAACCACATAATTCCAAACTTCTACATCCTTCAAGATTTTATCTGAAGAAGCTGATGGCTGATTTGTGGGAACCATAGACCTTTCTCCAAAAAACTGATGGTTGATTCCTTTCTAATTTCCTAGAACATGAAGCTTACAGTAATTTTTTATTCCTTAGCGTTTTGTTCTTAGAGTAGCAATCATTTACAAAAGGTAACTGGTAAGTATTGCCCATAGTAAAGAAGGAAGATAATGATCAATAATGAACCGCATATATCTACTACATAGTTATCCTTAATTGTGGATATCTGGTGTTCTGATTATGGAAATTATACATTACAAAATGGCTTCTCTGTTTTTTCTTTTACAATTTTTATGGAATTGGGTATATAACTACCTTTCCAGTAGCTCTGTTCGTTTCAATGTAAGAGAAAGCCTCAACAACCTGGCTAAAAGGGAACGGGCCCTTGGGGTCTACTACAGGCTTTACCTTTCCACTCTCCAGATATGGATTTAATTTTTTCAGAACAGCTCCATTTGAAGTGACTACAAATCTGAAACCAGGAGGTGTTACAGCACCGGTTAGTGCCACCACAGCGCCCCCTTCTTTAACTACCTTTACTGCTCGATCACATTGCCCTGTCATTTTTTAAAAAAAAAAAGAAAATATTTAATCAACTGGCTGCAGCAACAAAACCTTAAGGAAATACAGTGTGCAACGAAATTAAATCTGATGCAGTATAATAGAGAGTACGAAGAAATTTGGCGCATGATTTAAGTTGATGTCTTTCAAATAAGATAATAGGTGAGCTCTACTCTAGCAATGGGAACATTCTAACTGGTTCAACTCTATTCGCTTTATTCAATTTTCACATTTTTGAAATATGGTAGCATGACTTTCTTTTTGTTCATTCTTTGAGTACTTATAAGCTTCCTTCTCATATTTGTTATATTGTTTACAGTCTCATGACCAAGCTAGTTATCAGACAACCAGAGAGAATAAGGGGCAAACTCAAAACTCAAATACTTTGAGGATCTCTTGCCAATGGAAGTAAAGCTATTGCTCACAAGAAACAAGCAATTAGTGAAAATTCTTACCAATTGCATCATAGACTACATCAAATTTTTCTGGCAAATCTTCAATATTTTCTTTAGTGTAGTCAATAGCCAAATCAGCACCCAAGCTCTTCAAAAGTTCCAAGTTTCTGGTTCCGGAAGTTGCTGCAACTATTGAAGCACCAAATACTTGTTTTGCTAGCTGCACCCAGAAAAAATAGTTGAATAAAGTGTATATTACATATAGGACATATGTTTCATGTTGCATTAAAAAGTTTTGAAGACTAATAATGCTTCACAGCTCATTTAAAGTAAGTGACATCAATTTTATTTCAATGCCCAGTGTACTAAAAGTTTCATCATCATTTACGGATACAATATGTCCATCTTTTTATTAAATTCTGAGGTACAATTGGATGTGGAACATCATAGTGAGCTATGACTTATCTGTTAGGTTTACACACAAGACTTTGGACATCACGATTGTAATGCCTTTAAACTTTAACCTGCTGTCTTTGAATTTCACTAACAACCAGGAGAAAGTTAATCTAGGAAGCGTGAAGGCAAGCCAGAGACAGAATCAAAACTTGTGAATAACTACCATAGACAGGGAATGTTGATAGATGAACTTACCAACTGAACCCAAACCCATCTGAGAAATTAATATGCAGCAGCACAGACAGCAATAGATGATTAATGAACTTATCCATGAATTAACAAATAACGATAAGTTACGCTTGAAGGGATAATATGGAGACATTATCATGGATAAAATGATAGAGACTGTTCATTCTTTATTTACAGCAAATGCATATTGAAATAACAAATCATCTAATCAAAGAATGTTGTAGTAACAGAAATGAAAAGGCATCTTAAAACGTAATCTCTGATATTTATTGATGCAAATGAGTAAATTTGTCAATTGGTCAGGAATTTTTTTTTCAAGTATTTCAATTATGATCTCATAGTATAAGCCAATAAATATTTCATCAACCAGTTTACCTGAATCACCAAGCTTCCAACACCACCAGAACCATTCAAAACAAGAATAGATTTACCAGCAGAGAACCCAGTTCTTTCTAGACCCTCATAGGCTGTCTCAATAGCAAGAGGAAGGCCAGCAGCCTGAACAAAATCCAAATTTTTTGGTTTCAAAGCCAATAAATTTTCTTCAACTGCAGTGTACTCTGCGAAGGAGCCGAACTGTTTCGGCTCTTCCAATGCTTTCTCATTTATGTCCCCATACACCTCATCTCCCTCCTTAAATTCCTTCACTTGACTGCCAACCTTTACCACCACACCGGCAACATCATACCCTGGAACAGTCTATAAAAAAACCAAATTAAAGAAGAACTGTTTAGTTTATAGCTAACTATAAGAAACTGAAACCAACTGATATCATTCATATTAGCAAACAAAATACCAATATATTACAACCAACAACAGTAACAACACAATGTTATAGCAATTGTATCTAATAAACATTTAACATTACATAACAACTCAAACATACCCAGGAGATAACAATAATCATAATAATAATAAACAACCATCCACTACTCTGTATACAACTACAACACAACCAAAGAAAAAGACCGAAGTCTCAAGCTTTATATTGGTATGCCTGTTTCTAATTACTTAAAAAAAATAATAATAATAATAATAATAATTGCAAATGAAATATTAACATACCGGGAGAGGAGAATCGGTAGCCTTGAACTTGCCCTGTCTTCGCTTAGCATCAACAGGATTAAGAGCGGCAGCAACAACCTTGATCAACACCTGATCTTCCTTCACTTGAGGCACTGAAACTTTCTCATCAAATTTCAATACATCGACTCCTCCATATTCTCCATACACCCACGCTTTCATTTCACTAGGTACACTACCCACCTTTGTGGCCTCAGTGGATGCAGAAGCAGCTTGTGAATTTGCTTTAACTCTTAGAGATAGGTAAGACAATGACGCTCCTTTAAGGTTGACTAAGTTTTTCCTTCTTCTGTTTTCCGGGAAAGCGAGGGAAAATCTCTGAGAAAGTGAGTGGAAGCTTGTGAATTTAGAAGGTGCTGATGCTAGAATGGTTTCCATGCGTTCTAACTATTGTTTCTGCAACAGCTTATCTCTTTCTTTATGCAGTTATGCTATCTCCCTCTTGTTTTTCAACTTTATATTTTCTCGCGCCACGTGTCACAACTAATAATCAGTTATCAAAAAGCAGTCACTCAGTTCACTGTCACTTTTGAAGCAGCAGCCACGTGTTCGACTAAAATGAAAACTTATCTATTACTAAAAAAGCCAAGTGTAGAGTGAGGATCAATTCCATAAATTAAAGATCGACGGTTTTTATTGAATGCTAACTCGTTTTTTTCATATACATTCAATTTCTGATAACCGAAAAATGCATTCATTAGAGAATTGATAGAGTTTTAGATACATTATAATTAAGATATTTAAATATTAATTTTGTTTAAAATAGAGTTTACTTTGGAAATTGGAGTTGTACAATATTAAAAATCAATTCCATGGGCCGGGCTGTTGTACGCAAAGCCCATGAAAACCCGATGTAGAATGGGGTAATTTTAGTTCTCCAAAATTTGGTCTTAAAGTTAAACCCCAATTTTCGATTCGAGGGTTTTTGATCTGTAAGAGAAAAGAGCATCTTCACTCGGAGCGAAGCTCTTACTATAAGCAAATCAATTGTTTGTTAAATACTATTGTTTTTAATTCCTCAATTTTTCTTAGGAACCAAACAGAGTATAACTTTTTTCATCTTAAATACAGCCTCAGTGTTTGGGAAAATGCAGTCTTTTCGTGGGAGTATCCGGTTGGTTCAAAGGCATTACTTTACCGCGAAAACTTCTTCACTTGCAAAAGGATTCATTTCGTCCAAATCTACAGGTTATCCATTCGAGCGATTGCCTCACGAGTTCGCTTCTCGCTCTGAGGTTGCATTTCTTAGCTAATTTTTTTCCTTTTTTGCTTTATTTTCATTTAAATTTATGCTTGTTGAAAGAGAAATTCATATTTCCACCCAGAATTATGTGTTAGAAGTATAGCTTAGATTTGTAAATAAGCCATATATGATGTTTTAAAATGAGTCCTCTATTACAACCCAACTGTGTATGGTTTAGTGAATTTTGTTTTGGTAAAGAATGTTGGCTTACGATTTGTAGTTTTTTATGCGCTTCTGTATATTTTGAAATTGAGTTGGACCTTGTTGAATTAAGGTATATGTTTATTATGGATATAAAAGAGTTTGTATGACACTAGTTAAGTTTCTCCAGCAGGTAAAATTTTGCTCCCAAACTGAGTCATTGACATCAGTCAACTATTATGGTAGAAGTACTGGGGCGGGTATGTTTCAACCTTTTGCTAGTAGATGCATTACAACAATGGGAAATTCTGTTGCATCAGCTTCGCAAGATTCTTCTGCTGCTGTATCTGATGTAGCTCCCCGCATTAAATTCAAGAGGCTTGATAAAACTGCTAGGCACATAATGCAGGCACATATCTTTTCATTGCAACGGCTGATTTAAATAAGATTACATTTTGTGCTCTTCATTAACTATCCCGTTGATGTTATACTTGGCAGATTTTAGATAAGGAAGCAGTGGAGGATGTGAAGGGACAGAGAGAGATACCAGATATAAGGCCTGGTTATATTGTGCAACTTAAAGTGGTACCATATGTTTCATTGCTGAAATATTTCTTGTTGATTTAGGAGAGTGAGAGAGGAAGGTGGGAGTTTTATTGAAGGATTCAAGTTAAATTGTTCTGTTATAATTCTTGGTGTGAACAGGAAGTCCCTGAGAATAAGAGACGTGTTTCGATCTTAAAGGGTATTGTTATAGCAAGGCGAAATGCTGGTCTAAATACTACATTTAGATTAAGGAGGCTGGTAGCAGGGGTTGGAGTTGAAAATCTCTTCCTGCTGTAAGTAGAATTATTTTCTTTGTCATATAATCAAATTTTGTTTTCTCAGTATATTTATATCTTAGATTTGCTGCTCTAAATTGGAAGAGAAGTGTGTTCTCTCTCTTGTGGTTGGCTTGGAAACTGTTTGTAGTAAAATTGTCTCAATATCATGTTATTTTCATGGTATGATTTTATATATTCCTAATTATTAAGTATACATTTACATGCCCAGAACTAATTAGGAACTGTTTGGATATTTCAAATGTGTATGGTCATAAAAGATTTCGAGGAACAAATTAGCATCAATCTGCCTGAAATGCAAGCAAAAATAATGTCTCACATTATTGATATTCTTTTGAAACTGTATGCTGTGATTTTTTTGGAAGACAAATTTTTTGTGTTAGTCTGGTAATAAGTGAATCTGTAAGGCATATGATTTAAAGTTGTCATGCACATAGGCTTGATTGAATTCACCTATGGATAAACCAAAAACTGAATATTTATGAGGGTTAATTCTTTTTCTTTCTAGCTATTTCTATCTGAACTTCCATGGGCTTATATGGTATGGTTACACTTTATTGAAATTTATTTCTTCCCATACACTTTGATGGAACTCATATTCTAGTCCATGGATTCATATTTTACCAGTTGGAATGTCAAATCTTATAATATGTGACTATAACAAGTACATGCTGACCCAAGTATGTTAATACCACCTATTAATTAAGTAATGGTACTACATATAAACAATGTATATGAACTAGATGTGATAATTAATGGAAGATTCAAATAACATAGCCAAGTTAATAATTGAGGAAGAATGATGTGGGTAGAAGTGTTTGTATATGTGTCATTGCTCTTAATTAAGACGCCGTTAGACCCCTTGATTTACTAAGCAGAAGATAGTTAGCTTGCATATTTAGAAAAATGGAAATCGAAGTCAATGCAAAAGAGATCATGTTTACCACATCTGCCCTGGCTTTGAAAAAAGCTGTTGAGTATATATTTGTAATGCATCAACATGAGATATTATTTACTTGAAAAGAAATTTTTTTCTTCATTACTTCTGTCTGATGTTGAATTGTATGTGAAGCTGAATGTGATAACAACATGAGCCTCAAATTGGTATTTAACTTTAAATGTAGCAATTGGTTAAGATACTGCAGTAAATTTACTATTATTTAATTTCTTGTCCTATTTTTGAGTATCTGTGGAGTTGGTTCCAATTTTAAGTGTAGGTTGTGTGGAGTTGGGACCGTTGGTATTATATTGGAATGACGCCCTCAGACCAAATAATTTGGTGTTGGATGACAGGTACTCGCCCAACATAAAGGAGATAAAAGTGTTGGACAAGAAGAATGTGAGAAGAGCCAAGCTTTACTATCTGAGGGACAGGATGAATCCTCTTAAGAAGTAGTAGGAAGCTTTACTGCTAGCTCTTTGAGAAAGATGGTGGGTCTGTATTGCCTTTGTGACAAACATCTTGAACTATTGCTGTATCCATTTTTCCCTTTTTGTTACTTAGGGGAAAAATTTAGGACTTCCGTTTATTGGAAGAGGTGAGGGTTTCTACCAAATAGGGGAAAATTTAACATGTGCAATGTGTTAGGGGCAAGATTTTAATAAGTCTTTTATCTTTCAAGGGAAAATTTAAGATGAGAAATTTAATTTTCGGATTTTTGGAATTTTTTTCATGTCATGGTCAAAAGTTAACGTTGTATTTGTTAAATTCAAAGCAAATGGGGAAAAGTGAATATCTATAATCTACAACTTGACATTCAAGTAGAAAATTATATTATTATGGAGCATTTAGTTTGGTGTTTACTCTTTTCCTGGTTTTGGTTAATGTTTTATGTATAGACATGGTCAAACTATTCATGCATGACTGTCATAGTGTGGTTTTATTTTGTGTGATCTGCTGCTCAGTCTTCATACTTATTAGTGTTTAAACACTAATCGTTATTGGTATAGATCACAATGTAACAACAAAGCATTTCCATGTGTGCATGTCAAACTATGAACTAATTGAGCATTGCAACTATAAATGATGAATTCTGGTTTATTCAGTAATCTTTTGTGATTTGGATATTCTTTTATTTCGATAAATTTTGAAGTCATGTATCTTGATGTGCTCCGTGACCGGGTTATCCAATATTGTGAGTCAAATACTTGCATTTCCATGCAAAATAAGGAAAATTACAAGATTATACTTGTATAAAGTATAAACATCCACTACATCTTTTATAATCTTTCATGTCCGTTACAACAACGGTAATAAAAATGCATATAAACACTACAATATCCCTCTTTTAAAATCTTCTAATTTCTTCACTTTCTACTGTTAAGCTTCAATCTTAATTGCTGTTGACATTGACAACTAGTGGAGCTTGTAGTTCTTAACTTTCATTTTGGTTGTTTCATCTTTGGTTTGATCTAGAGCTGTCTTTTAACAAAAGAATTTATGGATTTATTTCTCTCATATAGCACCCAAAATTTGTAATACCCACAGAAATTCAATGGATAATAGAAATATAGCTTGTGTGGATTTAGATTTGAATTAGAAATTCTAATATATAAGTGACAATATCTGTTACAAAATTTTATAATACCTCTTGAAGAGGTTAGCTACCATTATAATGGCTATAATTTCCTCTTCGTTGACAGCAAGTTGCTTGTGCGTAACTTGAAACTGTAAAAGTTGAATTTGATGAATGTAAAAGAGATGTGACAAAGATGGTGGAAAACCTTCTGGAGAACACCTTGGAGGAAAAAGTGGAACACTCTCGTGAAAAACTGGATCACCTAAAAAGGTCCAATAAGAAAGCTAAATGCAATGCAGAGACCCATGGAGGTACTTCAGGGACCAATTTGGACCCGATGTTAGAAAAATCTGTGGAACATGGAGGGGTTTCTTCTTCGAATATGGATATGAGTCTGGAATCACCAATTGAGCCAAGAGAACTCTTGACGACATAAGGTAGAATGTTATCTCGTTTAAAGATCTTCTGATTGGGAGGATTGACTAGCGGTCACCATTGGATGATGATGATTTAGATGACTTGTTTGATGAACATCCGTTTCAATCAGATGAGGAGGACAGCGATGAAGAAGATGACTTGGAGGAGGATGAGAACTGCCATGCGATTCATGTATCGAAGATCGATAGAGTAGAAATGTGCGCTCCATGGCACATAACTTTGATTGTTAAGCTTATGGGGAAAAGACTATGAATGAATTTCCTATGTTCAAGACTCCAAGAACTATGGGATGTGCAGGGCCATTTCGAGTTTATAAATTTGGAAAATGATTTCTTCATAACCAGATTCTCTAATTCATCCAATTATGCTCATGCTCTTCATGATGGTCCATGGTTAATAGTGGACCACTATTTGGTGGTACAGAGATGGCATCAAGATTTCGATCCTTTTGATGAAGAGTTTAGTTAAATTTGTTGTTTAGGTTACCCATTGAGTATTACAACAAGAAATTTCTCTAGAAAGTTGGTGATCATTTGGGTAAAACGCTTAAAGTTGATGTTCATGCACTAAGGGAATTAGAGGATATAGGTGGTTTGTCGGTAGAGCGTGCAAAGTTCGCCAGGATTTGCATAGAAATAGACCTACGAAGGAAACTCCTTTCGAAATTCAAACTTAGGGGCAAAACTAAGCCCATTGATTATGAGGGGTTGCACTTTGTCTATTTTAGCTGTGGGAGATATGAGCATGCAGCATAGAAAGGAATTATGTCCAAGCAATGCTCAAAATGATAAAACCCGGTCTAAAGGTAGTCATCAACCTGCTGAAGAATCTCCTTGAAGGAAAACCAAGCTTTAATGGCAACCCAAAGACTTTGATGTTGGGGAAGAAGTATTCAGTCCATGGATGCTTGTTTGGAAAAGATTATGCAGAAGAGGTAGTCCAAGTAAGGTTTCCTTGAGTTTCAAGGGTAGGGATGACACTAACAAAGTGGGTGACAGACAAGTGGATGGAAAAGTCAAGTTAATGCTGCAAATGTCTCACGTTTTTCAGCGTTGGCAAGGTTGATTAAGGAAGAAGAACACAATCCCGAGGTGGCAACTGATGTGTAGGCTACGCCACAACAAAATGGCGACTTCCCCAAAACTTTTGCTAAGGTGGATAAGCCAAAACATGAGGCCGCTTCTGGAAGCAAAGGTAACAAAAAAGAAAATAACAATCCCATCTCATTAAAAGACCAGTGCATGGTAGCGGAACGTTACACAAACGAGTGACCCGATAGGACTTCTAGCCAATACAGGCCCAAAATCCCGAGCCGACTAAAGTTACTACAACTATTTCACAAAGACCAGAGCCCATGTCTTTGGACTCACTCTAGGGCCCAGTGAACCTTGTTCCCATTAATGAAGTTATTAAACTCCTAAGGCTCACCTCACCAGCCTAGCATGACAAGGCATGTGGAAGTGAAGACCTTAGATCCAGCAAGCCACTTGAAAAGTATGGATCAATGAACCCAGAGATTGCTAGGTCTATGAAGCCATCTGTTCAGAAGGAAATCCACATGGAAATGGATAACCAAGGCTGTTGATGCCTTTAACCCTCTTTTTAGTGTTTTTATGAATTGTTTAGCATGGAACTGTAGAGGGGCAGGAGCGTAAGCCTTTTCCCCTTTAATGAGAGATATTATTGCCACTCATCACATAGGTTTGGTTGGTTTGTTTGAAACAAGAATAAATGGGCACAAGGCAAACAAGGTGGTTGACAAAATCGGTCTTCCCAATTCCACATGTGTGGATGTCATTAACTTCTCTGGAGGTATTTGGTTAATATGGAATGAGCAAGATTTTATGGTTGATGTTTTAATTAAAAATAAATACTTCTTTCATTCTATAGTCAAAACAGTAAGCATTAATCAGTAGTGGATGCTAACTGTTGTGTACACAAGTCCTAGACCAACTAAAAGAGAGAGTATTTGGCAAGGCATCTCGAGGGCAGGACATAACATATCCATACCTTGACTGATTATGGAGGATTTCAACTCTTATCTCACCCTAAATGAGAAATATGGAGGTGGCTCATATAATTGGTGACATATACGACTGTTCTCTGATTGTTTCAAAACTTATAGCTTATGGACCTTGGCTTCAAAAGACCGACGTTTACTTGGGAGCGACAAGGTGTGATTGGATAGTTGTCTTTCTAATGCATAATAGAGTTTTGTTTTTAATGATGCCACAAATCTTCTTTTGATCAAATTTTATGGGAATAATTCTATGAGTATAGGAGATAGGCCCTTTCGTTTTATGGCAGTGTGGTTAATGCATGATTCTTTTGTTCCTCTGCTAAATGATAGCTAAGAAGGTAATGATTGGCTCTCGGCTTCTAAGAACTTCATTAACAAAGCGATAGAGTTGAATAAAAAGTGACATGGTATCAAAAGGCAAGATGCAAGTGGTTAATGTACGAGGATAAAAATAGTAAATACTTTCACACTTGCATTGTAACTTGACGAAAAAGAAACTATGTGGATTGTTGAAAGATGAAGTTGGAGTGTGGACTTCCGACCTAGTTAAACTCAAAAGCCATGCCCTTGACTACTTCTAAAAAGTTGTATAGTGAAGCAAATGATGTGCTCCCTAGTTTCCCTCTGAAAGGTGCTTTTCCACCTTAACTCTTAAAAATCTCAATGAAGTCCAAGAACCTTTGGCTAATGAAGAGATCAAGCAAGCAGTTTTCTCTATGGGCCCTCTAAAGGCACCCGGCCTCAATGGGTTACATGTTATTTTTGTTCAAAGTTAGTGGAACATAATGGGTAAGACCATTTTGCAATTGATAAAGAACCAAGTAAAGTAGCTAAGATAAATCAAACGGTGTTAGTCATAATCCCAAAAACAGATAATCTTGAGGAGATAAAACAATTCCAGACCTATATCTCTTTGCAATGTTATGTATAAAATTTTGTCTAAAGTTCTTATTGCTAGACTGAAGAAGCACCTGGACTAGCTCATCTCCCCTAACCAATTTAGCTTCGTCCCAGGAAGACACAACACAGATAATGTGGTGATTGCTTAAGAAATTATCCACTCTATGAGAGCCAAGAAAAGGAAAAAATGATAGATGACAATAAAGTTGACTTAGAGAAAGCATATGATCGTATCAATTAGGGTTTTCTAAAAGACACTTTGAATGAGTTAGGGTTGAATCCTCATTTTGTTGACTTGATCATGAACTATGTTTCAACATGCGGCTTCTATGCAGGTGCTTTGGAATAGAAGTGCCACAAAGACTTTTAAACCCTCGAGGGCTATACGTCAAAGAGACCCTTTGTCTCCATACCTCTTTGTTCTTTGTGTACAAAGATTGGCACATTGTATCAAGTTTGCTATGTCAAACAAGAAGTAGAACCCGATTAAGCTTAGAAAATGAGGCCCTACCATCTCTCACTTATTATTTGCAGAGGCTTCTATGGAGCAAGCCAGGACTATTTTGGATTGTTTAAATCTCTTTTGTGTTTATTCTGACTAGAAACTCAACAAACAAAAGACGGGAACTTTTTCCTCCAAAAATGTCAATCATTGTAAGTCCAAGCAAATTAATGAGGAATTAGGTTTTTCAATCATTTGTGACTTGGGGAAGTACCTGAGAGTTCCACTACACTGTGGAAGAGTGAAGGAACGGTCTTG